TAAGGTGATAAAGTGTCCTCCCTTTCCCCCTTCACATCAACGCCCCTGTTCAGCATGAAGAAGCCAGAGAGTCAACATCCAGTTCCCAAATCAGTAAGATAGTTGATTTAACTACCATTGGAAAATGCTTGTCATTTTCCTGTAGCATCTGGTCCCCACTAGATCACTTTCATTTCCTTCACCTGCTCCCCCCACCAACCAATTTCTGCAGCTCTGCAGCTGCATCCCTGCCCATCCTCACCCTTCTGCCCCCAACCCTCACCTCCTTGTACCCCCATTATGTTTTTCCCAATAAAATGAAAAAAAAAAAAAATAAAAGTAAGAATGGCTAGACTTCAGCTCATATATTTTGGACACGAAGTGTCATGCTTGGTAAAATAGATCATTGTAAAAAAGGAAGACTCAATGAGATGGACTAGCCAGTCACTGCAAGAACTGACTCAAGCATAGTAGCATTCTGAGGATGGTACAAGACTAGGCAGTGTTTTGTTTTATTATAGTACATGGGTTAAAACTCAGTCAACAACAGCAACAACAAAAACAAAACAACAACAACAAAAACCACAAAACCTCACTCAACAACATCTAACAACTACATACTCTTAAAGGAGTTTCTAGGTGGGCAACCAGTTAACTTATTCTGCTGCTAACCAAAAATCTGGAGGTTTAGTCCACACGGAGGTGCCTTAGAAAGAAGGACTAACTGTCTTCTAGTTCCAGAAAATCGCGAATGGAAACCCCACAAACTATGAATGACTGAATGAAAAACCAACTACTCTGTAAACTTTTGCTCAAAGTATAATTTAAAGAAAGAAAACTGGATGGCATACAGGTATACTCTCACACATACCGAAAGTCACAGCTGACTCGCCAGCAATTGATTTTTTTATTTGTAAAACTCTGTTTTTATAAAACCAAATAAAATCTTTGCCATTAAGCTAATTCCCACTTACTTACCCCCAGGTGTTACAAAGTAGAACTCCTTCCAATGCTTTTATTGGTGTAAATTTAACAGATGGAGATTGCCACAATGTTCCCAGGGAGTTTGAATGTTTAGTTAGGGTCGCTCACTCTCATTGCTATAGAGTAGAACTCTACTCATAACTGACCGGCCAGCAGGCTTTTAGAGTCTGTGAACTGAACAGGAGGACTTTGCTCGTCTTTCTTCCTCGGAGCAGTCAGTGTATTCACACCACCTGCCTTTCACTTGGCAGCACAATTTTCCACAAACTAGCTTAGGAAAGCTACTGATTAGGTTAGTAAATAAGTGCCAACCATTTACTCCACACATGGATCTTAAAAGACTATTAGAAAATGTCATATTTATAGTATAGTTAGTTTTACTGGCACTAAAACAAGTGTACTACAAATTTGTGTTTATGTTAAGGTATACAAAACATTTTTAAACTTTTTCCACTTCCAGAATTAAAATACAGCATATATAAATAAATAGAATATGCTAAGTACTTATTTTATATGTAGGTTTATGCTGTTTAGTTTATTCATACAGTTAAAAAAAAGCCTCCAAATAAATATATAAGAAAATAAATACATGCAAAAGAAAACATGCAATTATTATACACTCTAAACAATAAACAAAACTCTTAACAGTGAATATTAGCAAAGAATTCTTACTATAACTCATTGACTCTGAATTTTTTCCAAGGATTTACTGAAGTGAAATCAGAACAAAATTAAATGCACATAATTTAAAAAATACATAATTTGTTAGGCTTTGGAATATATCTATAAACATTAACCACTCCAATCAAGATAATGAATACTTATCTGTTTTCTTTTTGCATTTTCTAAATTTATATGTAAAATGGAATCATATAGTATACATTCTTGTTGGGTCTAGCTTCTTTCACCCAGAATAACTATTCTGAGATTCTTCCATACTGTAGCACACATCAACAGATTAGCTTAAATAGTAAAAAAACACCCCTGCTTCAAGCATTATGCTTTTTAAAGACTATCTATATAAGGCATGTTGTTAAGAAGTGCCAGTCCTTAGAAAATAACATAATGATTGGAAGAGTGGAGGATCAGTTAAGGAGAAGATGACACTCAAACCAAATGGATTGAGGATGGCACAGAATAGTGCAGGGTTCACATGTGGTGTTCTGAACACCAGGGCCACTATGAGCTGTACTCAACTCTACAGCACCTCACAACAATCTAACAACAATGTGATCAAATGATAGCAATTCCAAAGATGAGAAAGAAATATGGGGTAATGAGCTTTTGTTAATGAAGAAAGAATAACTCAGAAAAAAGTTACACAATTTGAAGATATAATCAATATAACAAATATAATCAATGAACTGTACATGTAAAAACTGTTGAAGTGGTATATGCTTTTTGGTGAATATTAACAACAGCACAATAAAACTGAAAGAAGAAAGGAAAACATTAATAGGTGAGAAATGTTTTATAAATGGTAAAACATGAAAACCAGTGATTATGATATTAGTTACAGACTTCGGAACTAACTATATTAGAGTTAGCCAGTACTATAATTTAAAGATTCCTTCTACAATTCTCAATCATATTATGCAAATGACTACACCTCAGAACTAACGAGATAAAACACTGTCCTAGAAGTTGAATCTTGTTGGCTCTCCTGACACCTGCTATAAAACAAGATGCCATGTTTCCCTCATGACATAACTCTGGTATATCACAGCAATGCCACATGGGACTTCTGAAGTAGAGTCAATCGTCTGCCAGCACTGAGACAGTCTTCTTCTGTAGCATTACCAAATAAACTCTCTTATCAGGACAGCCACTGCTTTTAAACACATGCTACTTTTGCTATTGCTTGTTAAGCACAGGCTGCTTTGCTATCCACTGGTCTCTTTATTTTTCATTAATGTTTCCTTCTTTTCTACCTCTCTTTACTAGATGATATTTGGCATTTATAACCATCACAAACAAGGGTGCTTTTGTTGTTGGTGGCAGTGGTAAATAAAGCAAATCCATTACAGTAGATAAAATCTTTGTATAGTCCAGTTATCTATAGTAGTGACCATTATTTAGCACTCTAATCTTTAATTCCTGGGAGAGCTTGAATTTATAGACAAGTAAGAACTTTAAGGCTTACAGAAAGTACATCTCCAGGTAAATGAAGTGTTACTGTAACATGTCTTTAATAAGGTAACTTATCAAAAGATAATCATGCAACATAAAGAACCTTTTCTAGTTTCCTAGTTTGGGATTCTCATCCTTTAAGTCAAATTATCAATTAAAATTGGGACTCAAAGACAAAAAGGACAACAGTACTCACTTTGGTAGAATAGTTTTACAGTACCTTTTAATGCTTCCGTTTCTATGTCTACTAATGGCTTCCCCACATAGGCAATCTCGTCTAGATTATAATAGAGTTTTTTAATGACTCCATCGTAACGGCTAGTGATGGTAACAGAAGCTTTATCACTTTGAACTTCACAGATGCTATCAAACTGAGACACTGTATCTCCTTCTTTTACATACCTAAAGGAAAAAGACATAAGACACTTTTTATGAAAAATTACAAGTCCAGGCCATCCTATTTAAACCACCCAGTGAGTTAGAACATTACCCAGCAAGCCAAGCACTTAGTCTCAGACAGTGAATAAAAGAATGATTCTTAGAAAATCATAATAGACTCCAGAGACTCTAAGAAGTACTACCAAAAGACATAAAAAAATTTAAATCAATCCAGAGATCTATAAACTTTTAATCAAATTTTCATACTTCCTGTCTTGGGGAATCCACTTTGTGGGGAAACAGGTTCTCAAAAGACATTTCTAAGTGTAATTTCCTTGAATTATCTTTTTTAATTTAATTTTTTTTATTAATTTCAATGAATTACAGAGATTTTGGATTTCCATTCATTCATTGTTGCACTTTTCTCCCCACCCACCCCAGCCCCACCTCTACTTCGCTCTTCTCCTTGAAAAGAAAAACTCCTTCATTGGTATACAATCACACCGCCCCCTCTGACCCCGAGAATACTCCACTCTGTAACCCTCATTCTGAACTCTTATGATAATCATAATGCCCTAAAATATATTACTTTTAAACTATTCTCTCCCTCATCGGCTTCAATGCAGTAAACATAATTTATGCAGTTTTTCTCAGTCTTACCCTCACCTTGATGTCAGCCTCATTCTACAACAGTGGCACCATATAGTATAGTATTTGTCCTTTTGTGACGGAGATATTTCACTCAGCCTAATGTCCTCCAGGGTCACCCATTTTTAATAATATTGCATGAGTTCCTTGTTTTTCAATGCAGCATAGTATTCCATTGTGTGAATATACCACAGCTTCTCCATCCATTCATTTGTTGATGGGCACTTAGGTTGTTTCCAACTCCTTGCTATTGTGAACAAAGCTGTGATAAACATGGGTGTGCATATATCTGCTTGGATGTCTGTTATGGTCTCTTTGGGGTATATTCCCAGTAATGGAATTGGTGGGTGAAATGGTATCTCTATTTGCAACTTTTTGAGAAAGCACCACACTGCTTTCCACAGTGGTTGCACCATTTTACACTCCCACCAACAGTGAATAAGGGTTCCAGTCTCTCCACAACCTCGCCAGCATTTGTTCCTTGCTGTTCTGTTAAATTTTGCTAGTCTTACTGGCATGAGATGATATCTTATAGTTGTCTTGATTTGCATCTCTTTTAGAGCTAGTGATTTTGAACATTTCTTCATGTGCTTGTTGGCCATCTGAATGTCTTCTTTGGTGAAGTGTCTGTTCATATCCTGTGCCCATTTTTCAATTGGGTGACTTACCTTCATCTTGTTTTGGTGCTCAAGTATTTTATAAATTCTGGATATAAGTCCCTTATCTGACATGTCATTACCAAACACTTTTTTCTAATCTGTGGCTTCCCTTTTTACCCTCTTGGAGAGTTTTTGGATGTGCATAGGGATTTGATTCTTAGAAGATCCCATTCATCTATTTTATCTTCTCCTGGCTGTAAATTTTTCAGGATACCTGGAAGACTCTTTATGTTGTGGATTAGGACTACTAAAGTTTTTCCAAGCTTTTCTTGAATGAAGTTTATAGTCCTTGGTTTTAGTCCTAGGTCCATGATCCACCTTGAGTTGGTTTTTGTATATGGAGTGATGTGTGGATCTTGCTTAATTCTTCTGTAGATAGTTTTCCAATTTTGCAAACACCATTTGCTAAAACGGTTGTCATTTCCCCACCTAACTGATTCCATCTCCTCGAAAAAATCAGTTGACCATAAATAGATGGGCTGATTTCTGGATTCTCAATTCTATTCCATTGATCTATATGTCTGTCATTGTATCAGTATCATGCTGTCTTTACCACCACGGCAGTGTACTAGGATTTGAAACCAGGGAGTGAGATGCCTCTTACCTTTTTTCTATTTTTAAGGAGTGCTTTGCTTATTCGGGGCTTCTTTCCATTCCAAATGAAACTGGAGATTGCCTTTTCCATCTCGTTGAAGAATGGGATTTGTATTTGTATTGGGATTGCATTAAACGCATAAATTGCCTTTGGTAGTATTGCCATTTTCACAATATTGAGTCTTCCTATCCATGAACAAGGGATTTTCTTCCACTTCTCCAGGTCTCTTTTTGTTTCTTATAGTAATCTTTTGTAATTTTCTTTGAACAGATCCTTTGTAATTCTCGTTATATTTACTCCCAAATATTTTATCTTATGATTAGTTATTGTGAAGGGTATTGTTTTTCTTAGCTCCAGCTCTGTATGGGCCTTTTTTAAAAAGATGTAAAAAACCTGGTATTTCTAGCTCATTTCTTTTATAATTTTATTATTTCTGAGTATGCGTTTTCTCAGTCTTTTTAAAATTTCAGTCATACTTTTTAGAATTATTTTAGCCAATCCTTACATAAAGGGTCCTTTAAGCCCTTAATCATTTGAGGTATGCTTTACAAGGCTCTTTTTTATTTTCTTTAGCAAACAGAACTGGAAGAATGAAACCAAATTTAAAATATTATATACCATTTTGATTAAATGTGTCTACCACATTTCTGATGTTTTGAACAATTCTCCATTAAAATACTTTTCAGTAATTCTTTTCCTGTATTCCTCAATTCTCAATGAATGATAAAACATCAGTGACTCAGGACTAGGTTTAAAAGCACATATAGCGGACTATTACATGCAGAAGGATACCCCAAAACTGATTGTTTCAAAAAAACAATAAACTGGTAAAAAAACGTCAGAAATCTGGAAATTTTTAAAAGGCTGGAACTGGGAAGTATTCAAGAAATACAGCTTAATCTCATTCAAAATCGCAAGCTATCAGTTGTAATTTGCCCTGTATTCCACACCTCCAGCTCAATGGCAGCCATGAAATCCAGGTAGTCTTTCAACTACAGTAGTTGGGAAAACCTAGCGTTTGCATTATTCTGTATTATGATGCTCTGGGGGAGAAATAAGAGGCAGCCTATTTCCATTAAGATTTACAGCCTCAGACAACCCATGCAGAGTCATTGTGAGTCATGGTTGGCACCTGGAAAGAGCAGACCAGATTTGGAACTCCACCTCGAAACCTGTCATTATTTGACTACTCTGCTAGCTCCCAAGGAGCTCTGGTGGTGCTGTGGCTAAGGTATTTGGCTACTAACCAAACTGTTGATATTACCAGAGACATTAAGTCTTTTGGATGGCAGCACAATTTATGGACTATGCCATCGGAGCTTCCTGGAAAACCTGATTTATAGTGTTTGTTTTTATTTGAGGGAGCTCTAGTGGCATAGGGATCTGAGAGCAATGACTTTGTGGTTTTTTTGTTTGCATTTTTTATTTGACTAGACACAGAGCTCCCATTTCCAGGAAAAACTGATCCCCAGGCCATTTAATGAACACAAACAGCAACTGCTTAAAAATCACAGCTGTCTGAGGGGGGAAAAAAGTTGTTGTTACGTGCTGTCCTGTCCATTCTAACTCATAGTGGCCCCTACATACAACAGAACAGAAACACTGCCCACCCCATGCCGTTCTCATAATTCGCCCATTTTTACAGTCATTATGTCAGTCCTATATGTTGAGCAATGTCAACTGACCCTCAGCTTCGCCAAGCTTAATGTTTCTCTTCTGTGACCGACTCCTTTAAATAATTTACCCAGAGTATATGGCATGAAGCCTCACCATTCTTATTTTTATGGTACAGCCTAGCTACACTTCTTTTAAGATAAATTGGAGGCAAAAATGAGACTAACTAAAAAAACAATTTTAAAAAGGAATCTTGGAGTAATGACAAGCTCATTGTTGTTTCACGCCTCCAGTCCATTCCAACATATAGTTCAAAGCAGAAGCTCTCAATACAGTTTCCCAGGCTATACAGTCTTTAAGAGAGCAGTTCACCAGGTCTTTTCTTTAACTGGCTGGTTCCAAATACTGACCTTTCAGTCAGTGGATTAGTATTTGAGCCACCAGGACTCCCTAGAGATGGCACAGCTGTGAAGATCTCAAACACAGTCCAAGATATCTAGTTGTTGTGTACCCTCAAGTCAGAACCAACCCACTGCTGACCCTCCAGTGGGTTTTTAGAGGCAGTTAATTGCACAGGAGGAGACTGTCCATCTTGCCTTCCTGGTGCAGTCAGAGGATTTGAACTGTGTGCTTTGGGGTTTCCACCACAAATCCTTGCCACTAGGCCATATAGTTATAGATTTACACAAATATACAGGGCTGTACATATACCTTGTAAAGAGAGAAACATAATCTTATATCTCTGGTTGACCCTGATGTCTTAGGTAACCAAGATGTAAAGGTTAAGGCACACCACTGAAGGCAAGCCCAACATAAGCACAAAACCACCCAGAAAAGGGTCAAAGATTAATTGGCTGAAAATATTTCAGAAAATCTCTGTCCAGTGAGCTTGACCACTAAACTAGCCAAGCAAAGATTTCTGTGGCCATTCTCAAAAGAGAATACTGACTTCAAAGAAGTAGTCCAGAAGAATAACTAAAACAAATAAGTAGAAAACACTGATAATTAAAAACTTAAAAATATTCTGGGAGGGAATTTGATTTCCAGAGTTGCTGCAACATATTATTTGAAAAGTCTAATTTCCAATAAAAAACTGAGAGTATTCTTTACTTGTAAGTTTACCTTGTAAGGAATATTAAAAGAAGTCCTTCAGAATAAAAGTGAACAACTGAACAGTTGCATGAATCCACATTAAAATTTAAACAACAAGGTAAACATAGATGATAGCATAAATTTGTCTGTAATTCTTTTTAATTATTACTGACTTATAAAACTGCACAAAATAATGCTTATAAACCTTGATTGATGATCTTATAATATTTAAAGATGAAGTATATATGATATTAAATAGGGCAAGGAGGGAGAAGTGAATGGAATTACAGAAAAGTTCCTGAATGAGGAAATTAATTTGGCATTACTGAGGTTTAGGTTAGTTGTAATTCTCAAGGCAGTCACTAAGAAAATATTTCCATAAAGAGCTAAAGAAATCAAAACCTTATACATTCAAA